GTTCAAGGTTAATGTAAAAATATGGTATCCTTTTTGCTTAATCAGCTGAATTATCTGACGTGACGTTACCTGTCGTTACGTTACTAAAATTTCCATTCAAAAAGTATATTAATTCTATTGCTATTCTCAAAAATTAATTAAGGTGGGACACTTTTCATCAAACTCAACTCAAAACTGTCGGATCGCGGCAGTATTTTCGAAGCAGAGATAGCCGCTTAATATAGTATTTATTTGATGAGAAAGAGTAAACATTCTTTGAATTAGTTAATTAACCTGCATTCATTTGCATGCAAGAATCATTTAAAATGAATTTACCCAGAATTTAAAAATTTATAAAACTGCAAACCTAAAATTTTACTAGATACTAAAAAACATTGTATTCTGCGAAAAAAAATTTTATTCTGCGAAAATTTTTTTTATAACGTTTTAAAATTTTTCTTGTGAGTTTTTTTCGTTTTGGGGAAACCCTACAATTGTTTTCAAATAGTGTTTATTATGTAACATTTGTTTACTGGAACAGCAAAATCGATTTCTTTAAAATTTCTCCTTTTTGCGCACTTTGCACTAACAAATTTAATACCTACAATGAAATGAAAAACTCAAAAATCGGGCTCAACTGGTCTCTTGCAAATTTTATAAGCTTATATATAAAAAAAATTGTCAAGACGAGTGAAAAATGAAGACTCAGGTGAATTATGAACATAAAATTCCAGTTTTGAACCACTGTGCATCGTATCCTAAACTAACCCACCAACGTTGATTTTATTAGTTGACCCGCATGTTCTCAATTTGGTATTCAGTTAGTTCGTTTAAGCAGCAGCGTTTTGTAACATATCGCTTTTTCCCCACTTCAGTTCATCAGTGGTATTTTTACGAATTATGAGTGTGTGCCATATATGTATGTAATTATGCCAAAATACAAATAATGAAGTGTTTTATGATATCGGTCGCCCTCACATAAAGCCTAAAACTATAACACACACCAGACAGTTTAGCAGGATAGTAGGAGATGCTCAGCAAAACAATTAAAATGTCAACATCTAATTTTTTTTTTTAATTACATCCACGAAAATTTAAAAATGTTTAACAAATTTGTTAATATTCAATTTAACTGCTCTTTCTATGTATGCAGTTAAGATAAAAATGTTGTTAAGCCCCCAAACGAATAAATTAAAATGCAGTAATGGGGTTAGGTAAAATTGTCTGATGTTCATGAAAGGTCTTCGGCATAGCACTGTCCTTCCTGTTTTTTAACCGACTTCAAAAAAAGGAAAAGTTTATCAATTCGTTGAAAAAATTTTTATTTTTTTTTTTATGTATGTTACCGCATAACTTTGGACTACGTTAACCGATTTCTATTAATTCTTTTTCTAAAGGAAAGGTGTCCCATACTAAAGTGGTTTAGATCCGATCGTTGGATATTGAAGAAATTAACGATTATCTCAAATTTTTATATGGGAATTGATGTCGGTTTGGTTTTTTGCTTAAACATTACTTGTTTATTTAGAAATTTTCATGATGTTGATATTTTTAAAGACCACACTAATAGTCAGTCTGTCAACTCAATAGCACACCTTACCAATGCTACAAACAGCCCATTTACTACAAAGAATTTATATTTTCGATAAAAATAAATTAGCTCAACTTTTTTAAGTCTTCTCATTCAATGCTTTATGACATAATATCATTTTCCGCCATCCATCCATCCATACATACCTCCTACTCTGGTCGTTTCCAAAATGTGGCATTTGCCTTTAACGAATCGCGCTAAAATTACACAAAGGCACATACGCAGGAAGTAATGGAGCTCGAAAAGGGCATAAATCGCCAGCCCAGCAATTAGTAAATAACACCACCAAGGCAGCATGATTGGAAGCTATAATTTTTGTTTAGGTGTACCAAATACTTAATAGTTGCTGCGTTCAAAGCGTGAATGCGCGCGTATGTTGTCGATTAGCAAACCGATTTTGGGGGAAGAGCTAATTATCTTTGGCCAGCTGAATTCGACGTCTCTATGCAATGCAAATGTTGAGTTGTACTTCAGTTTGTCGTTGTGTTGGTAATTGTAATTGCGGTCGGCTTATGCGTGGCACTTATATGGATTTGCAATTGACAATTCAATCGCATCGCATTGGCTTCATTGAAATCAAAGGATTCGAAGTCTCATTAATTTTTAAGGATGTTTTGCACATATGTATGTACATATATGTATGATTGTGTGTGTGTAATTAGGTTGATAATTTGCACTTTTTGTACTTTTAGTATATTATGTATTATTTGTTACTTTTATGTCTTCTAATTAATTATTATACTTTTATAATATAAGCTTTGCTTAAATTAATTAATTACTCATGCGTAAATATTCTGTGTGTACATATACTTTTTTTTTTTTTGCTTTGGCATTTGGTGGGAGATCAATAGTTGTTGTGTAAGGTTTTTTTTACACCCGCGGACTACACACACTACACACACACACATTAACAATTCGTCTAGGCTTGATTTTGAGTAAAGTCACATTTTTGCATTTTCTTATCTATGCTGCTGACCATCTAAATTTTCTTAATTTTTTTCGCCATCCAGCTGTCTTTTTTTTGTTGAGTGTATACACTCTCACATGCTTCTTACTGAAACTGGGTCAGGATCCTTTCAATTTGCTGCCCTTTTGTGTATTCTATGTGAATAAAGAAAGCGATATGTATTTCCTATTCAACGCAGGTCTTGTGTAAAAGTGGGTAAAAATGCGCTATGTATGTATGTAGTAACACCGTTGATGGATATTGCCTTGCCACACAAAAATTTCTTTTGACTGCTCCTTTTCCTTGCCATCAGCTCCTTTAATGAAATTCACATCCGGCACTCAGCGTCAGTTCAGCAGTCATTATTGATGTGTATACAAATGTATTTACTTCACTAATCAGCTTACACAATTTATTTCCATGTAATTCTTATTTTAATGCTGGAGAAAATTTTGTTCTATCGAAATTCATTTAAATAAGTAGGCATGCATGCTCCCTTCTAAGGACATGATTGCAATTGTAAGAACGCCTCGTTGTCCACTTCATCAAACATTTCCACCAATTTTGTATTAGAATTAGACTTGTCGTATAAACATTGAAAACAGCAAAACATTTTATTTTACTTGCATCACCACTTTGCTTACATACATAAGTACATAAGTATATGTATAGCATAAGTAGGTATGTATAGCCTACTAAATTTTCTACTACTACAAAAATTTGCTTCTAAATTTCAACATTTCGTGCCCGCAACTAAGTAACTACTAATAACTCAGTAAAAAGCACAATTATTGTTGGTGCTCGCAGGACGATGACAGAAACTATTTTTACAATTTCCGTGTATTTTAGCGCCTGCGCTATAGAAAGCGAAAGAGCGTGCAACACGTGGGAGATGTGTGTAAGCATTTCCGCTTAAAAAGCTCAAAATATCAAAGTGGAATATGAAAATGGCAATGGCAATGTTGCTAAGATCTCTTGCGGAAATTCAAAACAAAACAAAAATAAAACACACAGCACTGACCTAGCACAAGGATAAAAGCAGGGCGCGTACATACATACATTAAAATAATTCAAGTGTACATCACTTGGGAAGAAACATTAAGATTTATGGGGCTATCCCTAAACCAGCAGTAATTACTTCCATTTAAAGTACAAAACCGCGTATGTGAGATTGCATAAATTATTTTCTAGAGAGTAAAAACACTCATATTTCAAAAATGGTTCTCGTTTTTATAAAGCAATCGCATTTCTGGCTAGTATATTTCAGAATGAATGGATAAGGCTTGAGCCAAGAGCTTAAGTGAGTAAATCCAATTTTTGGCAAAAAATGTCAGTTACGCGATTTTGCAGAACGACGATACGCGGTTTTGTGCTTTAAACGATGATATGTACCTTTTCGTGTGATACGCTTTTTTCGCTTACTACTTTAGTATCTCGACGAAATAATGACCTATTTTTTAAAGTGTGTTAAAGTGTTTAACTTTTTGGTTACAGATTACGCAGGGCCATAAAAAAATCGGCGAAAGGTTCTTTTTACAGGACTTTGTGTTCGATATTTTCTTAGGGTCACTGAACACAGATCTGAAGCTCGCTTCGATCCATCACGTCATAATTTTTCCCTAACCTCAAAATTATATATTCCACAGTTTCATCGTAAAAGTTACACTTACTACACCTTTTGTCTTTTATAAGACCTAGTTTTGACGCTGCTAGCAAACAAATCCCTGTTAGTAATCCCATCAGAAGTTTGGAGTCGGTTCTTCCTGTTTATATTAAAAAAAAATCATTTGAATTTCCGGGTCGGTGCAGTACACTGCAGCACCTAACTATTCGTCCATTTTAGAACCGTCTGTGTAAATGAGTCAACCGACAACCTCTATATTAGCTTCTAGAGACTTTTCAAAACCCAGACGGGGGATCACGTAGTCTGTTCTCCCCGTCAAGATTGACGCTATACTTGGCATTCTAAAATTGTATATCCCGCTGGAATTCACAAGTGGTTTGGTTTAGCCTTGGCCGTTTCCCTAGGGCACGAACCTTTAAAAATATTTACTAGGGTAGGTGTTAATTGGTTGTTGGCCTTTTCTAGGTCATCTTCAATTCGCAGCCACCTGGGTTAGTTTTGGATTACCGAACTGGGCCCGAATCGTGATCGAAGGATTACTCATTTCGAATCGAGTCAAATAAAACGACAGATGTTTTCTCTATGACACAATTTAAATGGACGAAGCGCATTCGCTATCTAATTTCGTGATCTCAAAATTAAATTTCGATTCGGAATTTTCAAAAGACGAGGACCTTCTAAGTACCTACCAGTTTTCTATTAGAAGTACTCGCTCGGAAGAAAGGTTTATATGTTTATGCTATGATAAGATAGTGACTCACCCCATTCGTTAATTTCGCGAAAGCCCTAGATGGTACGATGGGCGTTTTAGTCCACCCTACTATTTGTTGTCGTCTGCGCTTAAAGTCTTCAACCATTTCTCCCGTTCGGTAGCCACTTCCACCAAGTCCTCTGTGCTGTAATTAGACATTAGGTAAGTGCAACTTCTTTCTTACCACAATCATAGCTCTTACCCTGCCTTCTAACTTCATGTAGTATGAGCAGAACTTCGCTGAATTAAGTCCGGATATCCCCCCGCCAGCCGCAAGTCGAAGCTCTTGGCCCAAGCCCACGTCGAACGACTCCTAATCCACCGTTATGAGGAGCTCGTTCGAAGTAAATTTATTGTATTGAAGATTTACTTGAAGGACCCTCAGCATCAGCGAGTCGCTCGTCCTTCATCTCATTCTGCACTTCTAGTACCTCATCACCATCCTTAGCTGCCTCGTCCACTATTTTCAGGCCAGTCACGTTATCGAAACCTAGATCTTTCTCGATTTCTCCTACTTCTAGCGTATTTGTGTTATCGTCTTTTAGGTTACGCTTTTTCAGACGCAAATATATGCTGCCCATACCCCACGACATTTTGCCATACTCTGGGTACAACAAGTCTTCAGCCTCTTTGTTGATTTGGAGTATGTAGCTCTGGCCCTCATCCGTCGTCTTAGATACGTGAAGTACCTTCCAATCCCGTGTTGGTATATTCGGATTTTGTGCCTGTAACAAGCGCAGGGCGTAATCCGACTTCACCACGTAGGGGATCCATACCTTCGCCTTCGGAATTGTGGGGATCAGAACTCTGTCCACCACTTCTAAGTGTGCATTGTCCCCTTGCCTTTGTAGGTTTGGAACTGCTTGCTTTAGCCATTCCAGTGCTGCGCTGTCCTTGCATTTAAGGAGCTTGACCCCGTAAAACCAGCCTTCGCCGTCAAATGTAGGCATGGGTTTGTCCGGCTCTTCATGCATTTGCCTGATCATTAGACTCAATAGCTCACCCTCTACAGATTTCCACTTTTCAGTGGTCATCTTGCCATAGGGATCACTATGATCCAGCAGCGCGACAGTCAGGTGCTGCTCGGCTACCTCACTTAATCCTACAGAATCTGGGATCCCATCTATATCTTCGCCGTTCTTAGCTTGCGCGCTGCTCTTTAACAAAGCCGCCTTCGAAGTCGACGGATCATTGTCGTCGCGGTTTTCCCGCCTTACGGCCTTGTGAAGTGGTTTATCGTCTATCGTATCATTTTTCGCAAGGCGCTTCCTTTCAAACTCGCCACTAGCGTGCTTCTCCTCTATACTGTTAGGGTATCTCCGATTTGTTGTAGCATAATGTTCTCTATCGAACTGTGCACGTTCTGACCTTACCGTCTCTCTTGCCCACGCTAAGCGCTCCTTCTCACGGCTTGTCAGGTAAACCACGGCTCCAAAGCGCTTGATTATGCGCAGTGCCGCTTTATATTGCGATAGAGCTTTCTTCCGCTCTCTTTTCCGCGCCTTTTTGGCCTCTGCTCTCTCCGCTTCTTTGCTAGGGCTTGCTAAATGCTCCCTCTCTCCTGCCGAGCTCTCATCACTGTTGGAGTCGTAACCCTCTCTTCTCCTAAGAGCTTTAACGAGCAACTTCCATTCATCTTCATTATTTTCGTAATTTATGTTTTTGTTTTTATTTGTATTCATCTTGGTCGTACGACCACCTGCCCGACGAGGCGGGCCCAGTGGTCAAAAAATTTTGTGGGGAAATATATAGTCCACCGCAGTAGCGCCCCTTGCCACGGTAAGGCCACCGTTACTCCCTGAGGCGGCCCGGTTTCAGGAAGGCTCCGTTATTAACAGCGGAAATTAGACCCCCCTGGCTGCAAATCGTCCAATAGGCACGGTAACGCGTAACACCCTGGATTAGGGGGTTGGCAGTTCTTGGTCGCTGTTCGCCAGCAGCCCTAAGCTGGAAAAGGGGTAGCGCAGAAGCTGCAAAAGCGGCTGCAAAGCGGCTGCGTTACCCCAGGCCAGGGAAGGACTGATTGGTGATTCAGTTAAGCCTCCACACCAACGGCAAGGTGCCTGCCCCAGCGGAGGAAAAGAAATGTACAAGTTGACTCGAATTGGGTAAAAATTAACCCTAATAATATTTTATGACTAAGTTTTGATGACAAAAATGTGGAAATCCGAGAACTGTTTTGTCCCTCAATAGCATGTTTCAAGCTATAAATGTTGGTACAAAAACACGTTTCCCTTACAGAGCATCAGACTTAGTTAAAATAAACTATGAAAAAGTTGGTAAAAAACTTTTATGTGATTAAAAAATAATCAAAAACTTCAAAAAATTTACGTGGACTAACTAAATTAAAATTAAATTAATTAAACCCTTCTTGGGCTGTAATTTCAGAAAAGTAATTTTGAATTGACATTACGTATACGTACCGCACACCCCACTTTGTAATGGATTAGGGGAGTTTTGGCCGCTGGGGAAAATTATTATTTTTTTTTTGTTTTTTAAGTGGCTGCCAAATTGTGGACAAATGACGCTTACGACAAAATTTTACTAAAGAAAATCTTTCATAAACTCAAAGCTAATTAATATTAAACATTAAAAATTAGATAATTTAAGAATTTTTTGAACTAGTAACATTTTCAGCGACTTTGGAGAATATCTATTTTCGCGTTTTTGAGAAATTGCATTCCAAACTTCAATCGCGATGTCCCACAACCTGCCGACCAATCAACATACGACAATCTTTTACCCAGGCGACGATACGAGCTGCCACATTCAAAAATGTGTATATTATTCATCGTTTTTATCGTTGCTTTTCTCATCACTACGCTATCGTCGTTCATAGCTTGAGATCCATCAAAGAGTTTGAAAAGTTTGCTGAGGAGTAAGACTTCCCATGGCCAGATACATACATTTTATGCTTTCTCTAGGCCATAAGTAAAATGGCTAACTATGCCTGGATGCCTGAAAAAATGCTCTACGGTTTTCGGATTAAAAAGGTGTTTTTAATTTTTTTGTTTTTTTTTCAATATTACTTTACTTAGTTTATTTTTCGCAGAAGTTAGTTAAGTAGTTTATACATTGCAATTAATTATCAGAAGTATCAACTAATAATATGTACATATGTGTGTTTAATATATTTGTGTAATTATAAACTCTGGAGGCCTGTTTAATGAAATCAAATTATTACAGTTTTATCAATGAACACATTTTACTGTAATAGATATATAAACCCAGTTAGTCACTAAACTTAAGGATGATTTAGTTAAATACACAAAAACAATAACAAACAATAATTGTTTTAAAACAGCTACGAACCTTTCGTTTGAATACAGCACAAGCAATTTATTATAACGAATTTTGTTTTTTTTTTTATTTCGCGAAAATATTAAAATAAAACTTTAATTACTTTACTAATTGTTTTGTTAATTACCTAACACTAATGTTTGCTAAAGAAATTGTTGTATGCAATACATATGTATAATTTGCGCAAGTTCTATAAAACAATTGATTTGCACATATATATATATTTTTTTTTAATTTAACAAATTGTTTGCTGTTATTTTTTCTTGTTAATCTGCGTGTGCTGTTTGCGGTTCAGTTTGTTACTGTAGTCCTTATACATTCATATGTATATGCTTAGTTGTGTATGCGAATTTTTTCCAAGCAAACTGATATATGCCCATAGCCAAATGCAGAAATTCCAAAATGATATATGTATATTTAATTTAACATTAGCCTGCGAATTAGATATGAATGCTGTTCGCCAAAATTTTAAATTTGTTAAACTACGTGTCAGTCAATGGCGGACCCACGGGCGGTGTTTTCACACCCAAAACCCCCCTGGATCCGCCACTGAAACACGCACTATATGCGCTTTTACTGTGATCGCAAAAATACATATGCATATGTATATAACTTAGAGAAAGTGCATTCATTTACAAGTTGTCAAGTAACTTAGATATTCAGTGAAGTGCTTTTAAATGAAGCGACGCGTTTTTTGTTATTTCCAAATTCCAAAATATTTAAATTATTAGCGTTAGCTAGGCGTCTTGTGCACTAGATGAATATGGGTTAGCTAACGTATGTAATTCCATATGCAAAGCAATTAGTATATGTATACATATGTATATGGGCGTATAAAGAAGGTAAACTTATTTTTTCTCATTTCGTCTAAATTAATAAGTATGTATGTACTATTAATAACTATGTATGTATATATACGTATATATATATATATATATATAAGTTGGTGTGTATATGCAATCTTGATTTCATTATAAATTTTATGTGTGTTTGTATAAGCAAAATATCGCTGCGTCGCGGTTTTTTTTAGATTCTGGGCGGTGTTTTCGCACTTTTGTTAATTCAAGACATTTGACGTTTTCAAGCACAACAATTAACAATTACAGTTAGATGACGACTCAAAAGGAGTGTCACTTTATCGTACAATAAAAGCTTAATTTAATTATATTGTATATTGATTTTGTTCATTCATATTTGTCTAAGGAAAGTTTACGTTTGTTCTCGCTGTTTTGATTGCACTGAATCATCTGATTATTTCATTTGTCTTTCAAAACTTCGTCCGACTCCCGTTCAATGTGACACATCTCTTTTAAATTGCAATTTGCTATAATTTGGGTATACTGATCTTTTAACGCTTTTAAGCTGCAAAGGTCTTGATCCTGTGGGCAGCCGGGTAGCCGAATCGGGCGTTCCTGATGCAATGTTAAAACCATTGAACCATTTTCTCTATTACATCTGAAATATTTTCACAAAATTTAATATAATAAAAATGTTTTTTTGTTTTTTTTTTGTTGTACGTACTCATATAGCACAAAAGCTAAATTGGTAGCAAACGCGTCAATCACACTAGTGCGCCAAGCGCGTTCACGTTTAAAGTCCCGATATGTTAAAGGTTCTGCATCTTTGTAGAGACCCAGGTGTGCCAAAACCTTCAGCAATGTGCCAGAATGTGTAAAGTAAAATGTGGCATTTGGTTTGTGCGAATTCGGGCTGCAAGGCAATGGAACAAATTCATTATACAAAGTGCAAAATACTATACAATTTAAAAAAGTAATGGGAGCCTAGGGCGAATTGGAACTCTAAGTAGTCGCTTTTCCTGCCTAGATGAGTGCTACTTACTCAATATATTCAAACATATTTTCCATTGCAGCACAGGCCATGCGATGCGTCAGTTCATAACCATAACCATCGTTCCAATAATACTCCAGATCTTCGAAAAATTCTAATGCTTTGATTGTGTCCCGATTAAAGAGATTACACCACACCGATAGATCTCGGCGATGATTCCAAGCTGTCTCAAAACCGCAAATAGTATAAATAAGTTTCGCCTCTTCGGCTGTAATGTTTTTGACTTGTGTGCGACGACGAATAAAGTTAACGGCATCAATCATTTCGGGTTCGTGCAGAAAACGTTCAGAATTGTCAAATGTCTTTGGATTTTTATCAACGTCGACCTTCCAGCGTTTGCAAAGTTTATAGAACTGCAAGTAAAGAAAAATTTATTAAAAATTATTTAAAAAGTAAAAAAATATAAATAAATAAATTAGTGTTCGCTACGTGAGCCTAGAAACTCATATTGAAGCACATTTTGACGGGCTCCACAAAACCTAAACATGCAAATACATAGTTCATTCACAAAAAATAGTAAAATACTAATCTGTATATCTACGGAACGATAACTTTCAAAAACTTCTGCAAAATCTTGAAGGAATATGCATATCTTCGATGTTTTTGGAAAAGCGCCCATCGACCAATTGCAAAACCGGCTATCTTACGGCACTCAAATTTTACAGGAGAGCGAAAAAACGGCTTTTCTTTGAAGGCATTGCCTTGATAAGCGGCATTTGCTCCAGCTATTATTTTACAAATTTGCCGTTTTAATAACGATTTAACAATTTTTATGCATAAATCTCGATGCCTGGAGTTGAAGGTTAGCAAATCTCTTTTTTGCCACAACGGGGATTTAGGCGGTTTTGCAAAAACATCAACGATTTGTAAATATATTGCTTGGCTTTTCATCATCATATTGTCATAAAATTTAAATTTTCTCTTCTTATGTACCTGCAACAGGTTCATACACCACGACCGTGTTGTCCACGCAACCGACCGCCAAGGCGGCTTTGTGCGCGTGGAACGACAAGCAAGTCGGGTAGCCGATTTTTGTGCCCATAAAGCCCTCGGTGCCACGCAACGTATTCAGCGCTCGTCCGCTTTCCTGATGTAGCGCAATGCCTTGCGCGCTGCCGCACGCTACAATATCCGCCGATGCGTGACTAGCGATTACGGCCACATCTGGGCCCGCTTCCCAGCTGGACACAGCAGCTGCTTGTCGTAAATCAAAGATACGCACGCGTCCCTGTGCACAACCTGTGATCAGGGTGGGTTGGTTTTCCTTCAGGCAAACGGATAGTATGGCACCAATGTGTTCGCGAAAGACGCATATTCGCGCCTCTTGTGGCGCTAGACGCTTATCGAACAGCCGCACGCTGCCATCAGAACAACCTGCTACCACAATGCTGCTATTCAAATTATAGGAGAATGGCGCCAATACGCGCACGCACGCCTCGCTACCTATCGGTATGTCACCGTGTTTCAGCTCTCGCTCTACATCCCAGATGCGTAGGAACCGCGAAATACCACCACCCACAACCAGGTGCTGTCTACATTGCTGCCAAGCGGTGACTATGCCGGTACGCATCAAGTCACGTCGGTGTTTCAACGAAGACGAACCAGAGCCGGAACCGGAACCGGAACCGGAACCAGTACCACTACCACCACCGCCACCACTGCCACCGTGCGAACCATTATAAGCAGCATTCATAGCGGGGATACCCTCGAAGGCAGTTATTAGCTGTGACTCAGGTTGATCCTCAGTACCTGGTTGCCATACACGCACAACGCCATCCTCGTGACCTGCCAGTATCAAGCCAATGTCATGTGCATTCAGAAATTCAATGGCACTAACGCGAGCGGTTAAACTTTGTTGTTGCTGCTGTAGATACTGTTGCTGATGGTGCTGCATGTGCGCCGATGGCGACGACGATGAACCGCTCGACTCGCCGATGTGATTGCTGCTGGCTTGTGGCACATATGAGCGCACTGAATTGCGCACCCAATCATAGACTAGTACTTTCTCCTTGTAAGCGACGGCGAGCTGTGTTTCATATGGCAGCAATTTGACAATGGCAGGCGTGTGTTGGGTCTTTAGCATGCAAGTCTGCGTGTCAATTCGGCAGCCGCGCATGAGCTGGTCTTTGGACTGTCGCCGCATTATTTCATTGCGGCAAAAACGAAATTGTCGGGAGCGCAATTCAGGAGAATTCGTATCTGCGGGAAATACCTGTTGTCCCTCTGTACCCTCGGCGGAGGCGTAGCGATTCTTACCGGGTCTCATAAAGTACGAATTAGCCCATGATATGAACTCGGTTTGCAGGATCGGTTTCAGCGCTGTCGACTTCGGCTCATAGTTGCTTTCGCTCGTACTGCTGCGAGCTGAATGTGAACCATCACCACCGCCACCGTTGCCACCTGTATTCATGTGCAAACTTGTAGTTGCGCCGACTGCAAGGCCGGAACCCATTAAGCCAGCACTGCGGCTGCCGTTTAGTGGAACACAACTGTCCGTTTCATCCCCCATGGAAGTAGTACGTAATTTACGTTGTAATAGCGCCTGATGATCAGCGCTGTTCATCACATTCGCAGCTAAAAGCTTGTTATGTCGAAGCTTATTCGCCCAATTGCTGGCGTTTTGATGCCCCACCTGTACACCGGCACCTACTGGTGGTGATTCACCACTTAAAAAGTTGCCGCGTGTTGACGGGCTCGGGGGTAAGCTAACACTCGAATTGCATTTGTCGCTGGTGGCCTCTTTGGCGGTGATTAAATCGACCGACTTATCACGTACGTAAGCTATAATTTTTTGTGCTGTTTCTGCCACTTCCGGAAATGGATCATGGCCAAGATTATAAATACCTTGCCACAATCGTAAAAATATCGCTTGAAATGGTATGGCTGTGGAGACCATGTTTGATATCGAACTTGAGCTAGCACCTCGCCGCATAGAAACGTGGCGTTCTAAGCTGTGTGTAGAATGGTGCACCACCGCTGGACTGGGTGCACCAGCCATACTATGGGCTACACTGGCACTACGCTCACTGCCGCTAACTGATGTTGTCAGCGCCAAATTAGGGCTCGAACTACTCATTTGCTCCTGCATGTACACCGTTACGAACTGCGATTCAAACAGCAACACCATCCACTGCAGGGCTGCAGCCAGCTCCAAGCGCACCAAAGGAGACATGTCCTCCCCCACAGTATCCAAGAGTGTAATGGCAATTATGCGATCAATATTATTTGCGTGCTCTTCTCGATCAGTCACTGAACTAATAAATGTGCCCAATGCGAAAACAGCAGCTGCGCGAACTTCTGGTATTGGATCTTTGAGCAGGGGATATAGTTTTTCGTGTGCCAAATCTCGAACACCGGACCATCTAGCTTTCTCGAAATTTTGCCAAAGCATGCCTAAGACAATTGAGTAAGAGTAGTTAAGAAGTATGTTATGAAAAAGTAGTATCAAGATGCCGCATAACTATGTATGTACTCTTGCAAGAACTTTTGGTTTGCTTAAATGTGGAGAAGCAAAGAATCAATTCTATATTATACAAAGTTGAGCGTTATTAATGTTCCACCTCCTCACAGCACCAAAAGTCCAGCAAGGTTTTAATAAAAATTAAACAATTATCCAATCTCATTACCTAGGCATATAGCTAGCCATTGACGAAGTAGCCAACTCTCGTCGTTCAGTTGCTCCAGGCATATCGACACTAAGGAACCTTGCAAAGCGCTTGTTTTGCCCAGCAAAAAGTCGTTCACAATGCAAGCCAACACAAACGCAGACAGCGTACGGTGTTCCTTGGATACTGTTGTGTCTTGCAGAACAGACAGAAAGTATTTATGTTCTTTCACCAAGTCTACCTGACAATTCGGATCCACTGCTAAAATTTTTGCCCATATAAAAACGAGCACCGGTCGCAATTCCTTGGCCGAACTCTGCAACAGTTTAAGTACGTAGGGAAAGATGCCCACACCAAGTGCTAAATTTACCGCCCATGGGCCGAGATCAAGAAAACGTGCAAGTAGCTCTAGGGCGCGCAATCGATGCACCTGTGAAAGCAGCACCTGTAGTACAATGGGTAACTGCTCTGGCGGAGAGCGCGATTCGGATTCTCGATCTAGCCATACTTGGAACGCCGTTAGTTGTTGTTCAAAAAATGGTAACTGCCGATACGGTGCACCTTTTTCCAATATTTCAGGCAGCTGCTGCAATGCGTAATCCACGACTAAATCCCAAGCGGACCACATGTGATGACGGAAGCATGGCGGTAATGCCGGATGCGATACAGGGATACAATCATGCGAACGTAATATACGCTCGGCGAGTAGAAAATTACGAAATAAACTGGCGACCAGCAAATCCTGGCGAAACAAACGCTGAAATAGATCGCGTGGCAAAGTATTCCATGCAATAGTGTCAGTGATGGCAGTAAATATCCAATTCAATTCTCCCATCATTGTCCGCCGGTCATTTACTTTCCCCGGTATCTTGTCGACTTGCTCGCTCTGTATGAGCGGAACCAGCTCGAATTTCTCTTGCATTGTATACCACTTAAGGGCGATATTTATTGGCGTGGTTAGGCAGGATGTGAATAAATCTGCTGGGAGATTGGCATTCATAGGCAATATCTCATTGACAGAGCATGCGGCCAAATGTATGCAATTTTTATAGCTAACAAATGGTGTTAATATAGATGGTGGCTGTCCAGGACCGCCGCGTTGACCCGATTTTTCTAAATCCCGTTCATGCTGTTCTGCAAATTGTTGAAACGAATTTATAATTATACCAGCGTTAGAGCAATCGTAAACATAAATTGATGGAGCACCCATCCAGCTTTGTAGCTCAAAAATGCTCAAAGGTATATATTGCGTGAATGTCTTGTTGAATACCCAAATTTCGCCATTAGCAGTTGGTTTAGGCACACCATGCCCATTGTAGTGGAAAAGAATGCGCTCGCCTTTTGCATTGCGCCGCAGTGATGTACACAGCTTTTTTACGTCTTCAGCTGTGGGATCATGGCATTTCTTATAGCGTGCGCGTGGCTGCCAACGCTCATATTGCATTTGTAAATTGTTTCCAATCAATTCCATTGCTTTTGGCGCCGAAACCGAAGAGGGATCGACCCAGCATTCTAAACGTGCACAGGGCTGTATCTTTACGACGTCTGGTGGATCAACGCCTATATTCAGACAAAGCACTAACACAACACTAGCTGTTTTCATTCGCTCTCTTATGCGCCAAGCAACCGGCTTGCACCTTATGCCCTCAATCTTTTCC